AACGTGGATGAGCATGTTTGTGGTTGGAGTCGGGGGTCAGGATGCTGGAGCCAGCTTTCCCAGGGGACCCAGGGCTCAGTGGCTGCACAGCCGTGCTGGAGCAGGCCTGGGGCTTGGCTCCTCGCTGTGGAGCATCACTGCATTGCTGTCTGCTCTGGCCCTGCAGGTACTGCACAGAGGGCAAAAGGACCTTCAGCAGCCGGCTCATCCTGGAGAAACACATCCAGGTGCGACATGGGATCAAGGCAACCGACCAGACGAAGAGCCAGGAGGTCATTATTGCCCGGATAGGGACTGGCACCACGCAGGTACACGAGGTCTCTATGGTCTCTCGGGGTGCTCGCAAAAGGCTGGAGCCTTGTGGAGGTTTCAGGCAGGGTTGAAGGCATCGCCGTGAGTCCTGATCCTGGTTTACTCTTGCCTCCATGCCTCCTGCAGTGCTTGGGACTGGCAGCTCCTCCCGCTGTGAGGCCCAGCGCCTGCTGGGTGGGTGCGGGCCCTGTCTGGGCACAGCTTGCCTAGCTCCCACCTCTCCCTGCCAGCAGGGCAGGGACTGAACTTGGCTGGCTCAGCCTCTTGCTATGTGCTGGGAGAAAAGGCAAAACATCCCGTCTTGCTTAGAGCCTGCGCAGGAGCCGCCCCAGGCTGCGAGGGGCAGAGTCGCCTGGCACGAGGGGTACAGGCAAGTCAGAGGCCATTGTGGGAGCCCCTTGGCTGGGATTACCAGCAGGGGCACAGCTCTTGGGGCTGGCCAAGGTCCGTTCAGCCTTTATCTGAGCAAGTATCTGTAGGAGCCCGTTGGGAAATCCCCGAGCAGGTTGGGTTATGCCAGGAGCTGCTCAAATTGGGCACCCGTTAAAGCTTAGCCAAACCATTCCTGCAGGTGTCCAGTCGGAAGCGGAAGCTGTCCTCGGACGAGGGCGACTCGTGCAGCGAGGAGCCTGACAGCACCACCCCTCCCTCCAAAAACCCCAAGGGCGACCGCAAGGCCCCCTTCCGGTGCCGAAAATGTGGTTACCTCGCCAACAGCTCAGCCGACTTCCAGGAACACATCCCCCAGCACCGGACTGACGAGAGCTCCCACCAGTGCCGGGAATGTGGGCTCTGCTTCACCTCCCAGGTCTCCCTCAACCGCCACCGCTTCATCACCCACAAGAAGAAGAAGGGAGCGAGTGAGATGGAGGAGCCGGGGCCCCGGAGCCCCCTGGAAGGAGGCGCTCAGCACGCGGCCGACGGCAAGCTCTCCTGCAAGGTGTGTGGCCGGTGCTTTGACAGTCAGCTCAACCTCAAGACGCACTTCCGCACCCACGGCATGGCCTTCATCCGTGCCAGGCAGAACGCGAGCCCTGAAAACTAGGGCCCCGGCAGAGGGGGAATGGGACATGTATATAATCAGCACAGAGCTCTTTGCAACACAGGCTGCCAGTGCCTGCCTGGGCTCCCCCTTCCTCCTTCCCTCCTCCTGGGCAGCATTTTGACGTGGGGTTGGATCAAAGAGCCATGAAGAAAGACGACAACCCGGCTTGCACAATCCGGCCTGACTCCCTGTGCCTGGCTTGCTGAATCGGCTTGGCCGGTGTCCCCCTAGGCCGGGGGCCTCGGCCCACCCTGGTTTGTGGCCAAGAGCCAGAGGAAGGCAGGATTTCAGCTGCCTTATTGTACAGGAGGTGAAGGGCAGAGTCCGGACTTGCTGCCCTGCTCTCGGGGAGACCAAGTGGTTTGTTCACTGTTTGCTGCTCTGTCCTCATGTGGGGATGTGACCCACCCCACAGCCGCTTGTGTCTGCGGGGAGGGACGGTGGCCTTCCTCTTACGGGGACAAGGATGGGAGAATGACACCTCCCACTCCGTGGCTGCTGTTGGCAATCCTGAGTCACGGGCTCTTCTTCTACACCGTGGGTCTCTTCCCAGCCGCTCTGTCCAGGAGGTGCCATGCTGGAAGGGAAGCCCGGCCAAGACGGGGGCAGCCCTGGGGCAGTGCTGGAGCTGGGCGGGACCTGGGGACCAGGGGAGACTTCTCCATCACAGGACAGAGATGTCTGTGCTGACAATGACATCGCAGCAAAATCCGCCTTTATTTTTTTTTCTTCTTTCCCTTTTGAATGTTGCTTATTTTGTATTTTGCTGGGAGCCGTGGGGAGAAGCAGATTCCAGACTCATGGCTGGTCTCCGTCATCACAGAGAGACCACCCAGCCCCTCCTTGGCTCTACTCACCTGCCAGTGGTGCGAGGTCCCTCATCACGTTCACTTGCACTAACTCGAGGCGGCGCCGGCCTTTGGACGTTCGTCGCTTTGTGCCCCAGGATGGCTGCGCTTGGGGCCCCAGCTGGCAGCCTTCCCTGGGGAGGAGGAGGAAGAGATTTTCGTTTGGCAGAGTTAAAACGGAAGCCAAAAAAAGGCCTCTGGGCGAGATCAGCGCGAGCCTGGCGGCACCGTGACACCCCCCCAGCACCACAAAGCTGCACCGAGGGGGGAAATCTCCCCATGCCCTGACCAGGATCCGTGCCGGCCATGAGGAGGGAAAGCCACTGCTGAATCCCGTTACAGACTGAAACGCTGACGGTGAGTCCTGGGGGGGCTTTTCCCAGGGGCACTGGTGTCACCCACTGACACCCCCACCCCCCCTGCCCCCTTCCCACCCAGCTCTGGGGGTTGAGAGCTCTGCTACCGCCTGGCCTGCAGGCGGCTTTGCAGCTGCTCCTCTTCCTCGGCAATCCCCTTCACGGGTGCAGAGCGGCTCAGGACCACAGGGCTGGACCGAGTTTCCCCTTGGTCACTGTGAACCATGTCCCCACACTCATGCGTGTGTGAGAGCTCGGTCCTGGCACAGCAGGGTGTCGCCTGCACGGGGCTGTCACCGTGTCCCCCCCATTACCTTCGGGGAAGGAGAAAAAAACAGCCAGAAAAGAAACTTTCTACTTTTTCTGTTTGTTTAGCACCTGTGCTTGGGGTAGGGTGTTTGTGTGAGTAATTATTTCAGTAACTTAACCTTGGGCTCCTTATTTCCTTGTGAATAACCTCTAACACGCTGTGTAAAGTTGTAACATACACTAAAAGTGACAAAAAAACCAAACTACTGTTGTGATTTTGGGTTTTGTTTTGGTTTGGGTTTTTTTTTTTTTATTTTCTGGGGTGGGGAAAGCTGGTTTGCCAGGGTTGGGGTTGGTTTTTTTTTTCCTTTTTTTTTTTTTCTTCTTTTTTTTAAGTGCAAGGGGGTAATCCTCCCCTTTGCTGCAGGTGGATTCAGCTGAATGGCACACACAGAGGCGGGGGGGGCAGGTTTTGAAATAAAAGGAGAAAAAATAAAAGCAACCAGCGGTTCCCACAGACCCTGGGCCAGGTCACCCCCCCGGTGCTGAGCCTCCCCGCTGCTTCCCCCACCTTCGCCTCCCCGACCCCCCCCCTCAGCTGTATTGCGTGGGGCTGTGAACGTGTAAATGATGTTTAATAATAGAGAAGAACCTAAAGTTTCTATGAGTTTTAGAGGAAGGAAACAAAACAAATTGCTTTGTAATCTTGGTTTTCAAGCACTTCAGTGCCTTTAGATTGACTTCTGTTAAAGCGGGCAGGGGGGGTGTCTGTACACTTGTTTTTAGGGGTTGCGATTATGCTACATTAAAACTACGGGCACTGCAAGAGGCTCTCAGGTATCCTTTATTCTTGTAGTAATAATGCAATTAAACTTTTAGTGGTTTAACCCCTGCTGTGCCCTGTCTTGTTTACATGGCCCCGCGTGGGTCCCAGGAGGGGGTCTGTGTCCCCCACCCCGTCACAAACATGTTGGTCCTGCCCCAAAATGGGAGTGGAAGGGGCTGAGTGCCCCCCCCTTCCCTCCCTGCTGCCCCAGAGAGGCCTTAGGGCTGCTCTGAGCCCCTGCCCCCGGCAGAGCTGGTGGGGTGGGGAACCCCAAAATGAGGTCTGTGATTGCCTCTGACCAAGGTTTTAGGGTACCCTTGGCCTGGGGACCACCCCCCTTCAGTCCCTGATTATCCCCCCCCCGCCCCCAGTGGTTCCTGGCCACTGGCAGCCAGCATTTTAAAATAGAATTTTTGTTTTTTAATGCTAAATAATCAACATGACAAATAATTAGTGCTAAACAAAGAGACCGAGGACATCCAGGGTTACAGGCCGGCGCGCTGGGTGAGGGGAGGCACCAGGAGCGACAGCCACAGAGGGGACAAGGGCTGGTGGGGGTGTCACCATCTGACCAGCAGGACGGGCTGAGACTGGGGGGACAGGGGGTGCAGGGGCGTGTGTGTGTGTGGGGTCACTGCTCTTAAAGCAAAGAAAGAGGCTGGAGAATGGGGGGGGTTGCAGGGGGCTCCTTGGAGCCTAGGCACCTGGGGGGCGGTTAAAACTTTTGGGCTGCCACATCTTCCTTCCTTCCTTCCCCTGGGCCTGGCAGTGCCAGGCTCCTTCTGCCCTCCCATCCCATCCCCTGAGCATCTCCTGGGCAAACCCATGCCAGGGCTCCAGGGGAGGGAAAGCCCCCACCACCAGCCCAGCTACAGCTGCCCAGCCCCTGCCTGACACTTAAAGGCAAGGAAAAGCAGACAGAAATTATTGCAAGGCGGGGGCAGGGAGAAAGCTTCACAGTCCCAAATTCCTGGAACAGAGTCAAAAAAAAGAAATAAAAATTGCTCGAAAGGCGCAGGAGGCAGTGCCAACACCCCAGGTGGGCACCAGCCTCCGGGGAACCCAACCTTGACGTACCGGCCGTGGGTGCTATGGGATGGTGCTGGAGCAGTGACCTATGCTGGGTGGGATGAGGGGAATTTCAGCTTTCATTAAAAGGTGGGGAGGGGGGAAAGGGCGGTGCGAGAAACAAAGAAGGGGGCCAAGGGTGGGAGCCGAGTAATGCTGAGGCTGCGGTGGAGGAACATGCAGGGAAGGGCCATCAGGGTTCACGGCTGCTGCCTTCAAGTGGTACCAGCAGAAGAGTCAAGTCACAGCAGACGCCAAAGGGTGGGGGCCAGGCCCCCCCCCCCCACCCCCCCCCCCCCGGTCCCAAACATTTCATGAGATTGTGGGAGAGTTCACAGGACACCAATGGGCTTAATACTGACGGGAGGAAGAGGCAGCAGCATGGGGGCGAGCGCTACCCCCACGTCCCAAGGCCCTTTGCTGGCTTTCACTGGGCCACCGCCAGACCCTGCGCTTGCATGACAGCAACGGTTACCGCGTGATCCGTTTTGCTTTGATTTTTCAGGAGTGGGTTTTTTTCCTGCTTCGACTGCTTCAGGTTTTTTTTTTCATTTCATTTTGTTGAGTCTTGGCAAAAGCAGCCCCAGGAAGATGCTGAGACTCGGCCTCTTTTTTTTTAGTGTCAAGGACCGAGACCTCTTCCTCGGGGCAAAGCTCAGGCCTGGGCCGGGCGTGGCAGCGGGCACAGAGCTGGTCTGGGAGAGGGAGGCCCGCGGCCATCACATGATGCCATTGGTGAGGTACTGGAAGCCATCGTAGAGCTTGGTGGTGATGGAGCGCATGCTGCCGTCCACCATCTGCTCGATGAGCAGCTGCAGCTGCTCTTCCGTCATGTTCATGTGAAACCGCTCCTTCAGGTTGCGGATGGTGCTCGAGCCGTGGAAACAGGGGAGCTGCGACCCTGCAGGGAGGGAGGAACAGGGTTTGGCGTGGGGGGGGGGGGGGAGGGAGGGAGATGGGACTGGGGCGAGCACAGCCCCCAAGGGCTTGATGGCTTCCATCCAGCATGGCTGTCGCTGGCTCTGAGGCTGGTTTGTGGCACAAGGATTTCCTGATAGCTGCCAGGCGGTGTCAGGGTTAGTCACAACCAGCTGCCACGGAGCACGCCACTGCCGCCGCAGCTGCGCCAGGAGCATTTATGGCCTGTTCCCACACTGAGGGAATGGCAACCCCCTTCCTTTGGGTGTGTTTTAGGCTTCCCTGGGGCACAATGGTGCTTGGCCAACGCCACAGGCACCTTTCTGCTCCCTTCCTGCTGCACAGCGCAGCCCAGGAACCCCCCACACCCTGCGAGATCTGAGAGGTAAAGGAGGGCTGGGGGACACACACCCTCCCTCCCCCCCAGGAAACACTCGCTCTGCTCAGACCAACCCACTCTGATCCATGCAGCGCTCACACCTCGGATGTAGCCGGGTGAACGCAGGAACCCCTTGACTTCACAGGATCCAGTGTGCCCCAACCCCCTTCCCTGAGCCAGGAGCTCCCCCTGCAGACCCCAGACCCTAGCAGGGCTGCCCAAAACCTGACTTCTCCAGGCGCTCTCCAAACCCCACGAGCTGTCCTCCGTGTGCTGAGGGTCACTGAGCCATTTTTGCATGATGCTCTATACAGCCTGGACCCACAAGTGGCACCTCTGGGGAAGACCCGGCTCTGATCCCCTCTGGATCCCCTTACCTTGCTGCATGATCTCCACAATCTGCACAACTTTATCCATGTGCTTCCGGGCAGCGATGAGACCCTGCAGCATCAGCATCTTGTAGTAGTTGAACATGTCCCCGTCCAGCCCACCCATCACCTGGAAGGGAGAGGCTGTATGGGTGGAGGCCAGTGGATGGAGAAGCTTTAGGACAACAGTGTGCCCTGAGCAGAGGGACTGTCAACAGGAGGGGCACAATGGGATTTTTTTAGGGAATTTCACTTCTCTGAGCCAACCCACACAGCAAACAGAGCGCCCCCCAGCTTTCAGCTCATCAGCTGGGTCCCAAGAGGAGCTCAGCTGAGGCTGCAGAGCTGGCCAAGAATTGCCACGGTGTCAACCCAGCTGCCAAGGGTTCGACTCTGCCACCCGACACTGGGATCACCCCTCACCATCACGTCCCCCGCTCACTTACATCCACAAATTCTGTGGTGAGTTTGAAGGCAGACGTCTCAAAGCCAAGATTCCTGGGGGAGCTGGAGAGGATAAACCCAAAATCGATGTGGATTATGTGTCCATCCGCATCCAGCAAGATGTTGCCATTGTGCCTGCGCGGGAGAGAGGAAACTTTCCATTAAACTTTGCAAGCACATACATGGCAGCACTCTCTGCTCCCAGGATTTCCCTGCTGTACCCGGGGACAAAATGACAAATCCTGGTAGAAGACACAGCTATGGCATGGGGACCCACCTGTCCTTGACTTGCAGTAGGTAGCACACCAGGCAGTAACCGGCACAGCTCTGCACAAAATTCCTCTGGGCTGTCAGGAAGGATTCGGTATTGTAATTGCCATGTTCCTGCAGGAAATAATCCAGCAGTGAAAGCAGGGATTGCTTCTTGATTTGGTGGATGGACACAGCATTCACAACTGGCTCAATCATGCCACTGTCGGCGGAGATGACGAGGATTTTGTATGGCTTGATCCAGAGTGGGACACGCTCCTGTTCCCAAATGGACTGTGGGAGAGAGCGACAAAATCCTTCAGGATCCAGGGTGGCCCCACGCAGCCATGGACCCCGTGGGCAGCCCCTCTCCCCTCTCACCTGCAGCTGCTTGAGGACCTGGAAGGCGAGCAGCTCCTGCCGGAGGTCATCCCCACACTTGACAATGACAGAGAGGAGGCGCCAGGAGGGCAGGTGGCCGTAGGGGGACCCTTCTCGGATCCTCCTGCAGGGAACGGGCAAGGATGGGAGCGTGAGGAAAGGGAGGGTGGGCAGCAAGTCAGCCTGGAGGTCTCCCATCAGGGGTTCGGGGGCAAGGAAAGCCTCTGGAGATGCAGCAGCTCTGCTCAATGGGTACTGCAGCAGAACGAGCTCCAGGGCCTAGGACTGCAAGAACTGCACATCAAGCCCTCACCAAACTATGGTGCAAATCTTACCTGAGCCACAAGCTGTCTCCGGGAACAGCAGAAAGGAATTGACTCTCCCTGAATCCCCCAGTCCCTCCATCAGAACTGTGTGGATAAGACTACCCCAAACCCATAGAGCCCAGAGGACTCTCCCTTTTGCTCAAGGAGAAATTTGGGGGTTGGACGTACAACTCTGATAGCAAGAACACGAATGAGTTTATTTTGGGACAGGCCAAACTCTTCTGACGTAAAGGATGCCTATAAATACCTGGTAAAGCCCCTCAAAGCCTAACCCAACAGCAGCAAATCTGCCCTGGATTTTCTCTCGCTGCCAGCACACCCACTGCTTGCTGCCCTCCACCTCCCTGTGTCCCGAGTCAACACACCCACCCTGGGGACGAGCAGGGCCTAAAGTCGAGGCCATGGCTGTTTACTGGGCAAATCAGAGAGCAATTTCCCTGGATTTCCAGGACGTACAAAGTCCCTGCAGCGCTGAGACCAACCCAGCACTTCCAGCCCTACCTGACTTTCTCCTGCCAGGGTTCCTTCAGGGCGACAGCAGATGGGTCCTCGGGGTCCCTCTTGAAGGAGGTGGGGGTGTGTGCCAGCTGCTCCGAGAGCCGCCGTCTGCAAGACAGAGCTTTTAAGCAGCGAAACCCATTGCTGAGGGAGTAAGTGGCATCACCACACACACCCAGAGCCTCTTTGATCCAAAGCACTTTACGAAGCTCATGGGTTCACCCCAAACCCCAAGCCAGGGCCACGTCCACCGCTTCACCAGCAGGGAAGATGCCAGTGGCTGAGCAGAGGAGGCTGCACCAGCCCAGAACATCTCTTATATGCTTCTATTTAGGGTTCTCATAAACTTCCACTGCCCAGAGTTTGCACAGCCCCTCCTTAACCCATGCAGATGTTTTTTCTCCAGGAATCCGGCAGAGAAATTTTGCACGCCCCCGCCTCTTTGCATCTGAACTCATAACCCACCCCAATAAAGCCACTGCCTGGGCTGCGCTTGCCATGCCAGCCTCACCTGATGTCTCCAGCAGCAATGAACACAGGCTCCCTGCTCTCCTGGCTGGTGATGCTGTCCACAGAGAACTGGGAGATGTTGTCACAGCTGTTGGTGTGAATCTCTGGCAGCTGGAAGGGGAAAGGTGTGAGAGGTGGGATGTAGTGGCTACTGAAGCGCAATTCCCACTCATCTTTTATCCCAGGCAGGACCTGGGTTGGCACTGGCTCCTCAAAGGGCCTTCCCGTCCTGCAATGCTGCTGCACCGGGTCCCGGCAGCATCTTGCAGCACCAGCAAGGGACAAACCCTGCCTGGCACCCCCGGCCTCACCTCCACCTGCAGCTCCACAATATCGTCCACGGACCAAGCCTCGTCATCATTGTCATAGTTGGGGACGGTGGTGAAGCTGCTGGTCCTCTGCTCGTGCGTGATCCCACACTCAGGGAGGTTCTCGGCCGAGCGGGTGCTCCGGATGCGGTTCTCGGGGATCCGAGCGGGCACATTCGCTGTGTCGAAATTGTCACATTCAAGTACTTCAACGTAGATTAAATAGGGAGCCTGCAGGAAGCAAAACCAAGCATTAGCAGGGCAGTCGCTGCAGGTGCCAGGCAGCTACAGGAGGCAGCATGATGCTCTCCGCTCTTGCAGGGTGTATGCTTTTCCTTTTTGGCATATGGTTTTTGGGGCAGAGCCGTGCTTTTCACTAGATGTGGAACAGTGCCCAGGGCAGGGCTGGACCTCCCAGAGACTGCTACAGCGCACGTTTCAGAGGACAGTTACTCTCAGGGATATGTCTTTCCCTCCCAGCTGCCTGCACAGAGCTCTCTCCCCATTGCTCCCAGCCCTGGAAGCACTAACACTACTCTTGGGACCCAGGAGATGTCCTAAGCACATGCTCAAAGCACTTCTTTCACTAGATGCCCAAACAAGGGCTGTGCACAGGACAAAAATCTGCCTTTCAAGGCAAAACTGTTCTCTGATCACTTGTACCTTGTCCTTGGAGTTGAGGACGACTGCCTGGGTGTGGGGCACCCGTACCACGTGATGGTCAAAGCCAGCCGTTGGGAGCCAGGCACGCGCCGGCAGCTTGTGGTTCAGCAGCGAAAGCTCTGAAATGAGCCGTTGGGTCTTCTGCTCTTTGGTTGGCAAAGTGGCCAGGCGCTTCCCGATGGCGATCAGGGATTTGATGAATTCTCTCTCAGGGGCGAGTCTGACAGGCTAAAAAAAGGTTTAGGGAAGGAGGGTGGGGGAGGAAAGTGTTATAAAGGCAGCAGGTTGATAAGACACCGGCAGTTTTGCAATCAGGCTCTGCAGTCTAAAGGCACTGGGATAAACTCCAGATAGAGAAGGAGGCTCTTCCCGTCCCACCCTCTTCCCTGCTCTTGGATGATACTTCCGTGACCGGAGAGCTGGGCTCATTATCTGGGAGCAGAGCAGGGCAGGATCAAAGCACTTTTTCCCCTGCTGCTGTCCTGTCCAGAAATCCTCCTCCCCAAAACTCTGGAGCTCATGTCCCCCCAAAACCCCCCGGGCCCCCAGGGCCACAGTGGCCAGGACACTGCAGCCAGCAGAGGGAGCGCAAATCAGCCTCATCCCAGGCTTGGTGTTGGGTGTTTTGTTGTATCCTCATCCCGAAGCCTCAATCCTGGCTCAATTCAACCATTTTGCAAAGATCAAACTGCGATTCGGGAAGCCCCTTACACCCAGGAGGCCCCCCACACCCCGCAGCTTAAGTCAAGCTCTCTGCTCGACTTTTTCAAGCTTTTAAATCAGAACAACAAACGATTGCAGCTGATTTTGCCATTTAAGATGCAGAATTAAACTTGCAAAGTGTTTACTGTACAATCATGCTGGAAATGCACATGCAAGGAGCTACGGAGCATGAGAAAAGGAAGCAAAGGAAAACATCAGAGAGCCAGGAATGGCTGCACGGCAAAATAAAGGGATGGTAAAAAGAGGAGAAGGATCAGTCTGGTGGTTCCCTTTTGGGAAAGGGCAGGTGGGAAATCATTTGTATCTGTAGTCCACGTCAAAAATCCTTCCAAACTCAGGGGTAAGTGCTGTCCTCTCCTCCACCATGCTCTGCTCTCCTGCCCACTTTGCTAGCGAGCGCAGCAGAGGCATCCTCAGGACAGGAGGAAGCATTTGCACAGCATCTAAGCCAGTGATATCGCTTTCACCTACCAGGCAGAGGATAAATATTTAAAACCCTGCACCAGCTGATGCTCCGTCCCCCAATGGGTTGGAAAGTGCCTGGTCCCAGCCGGACCCTGCTCTGCCTTGGCTCCTGCTACCCAGCCCACCCTGCGCCCCAATGCTTCCTTGACCTCCGGGACCGTTTCCCTCAACTGCATTTAATCCAATTTCTGCAAAGAGCAGAACAATATTCAACAGACACTCTGCTCCTTCTGACACCTCTTCCCTTCTACTCCCATCAAACCCCGATGGCTGCGATGTCCCTGCTCCTCTAAGGGCCTTCTGCTCTCTGGCCGATGCAGGTTTCCAGATTTGGCACTCAGCTGATAATGTCCCCAAAACAGCTCTGTGACCCCTCACCCACTCTGAGGTCTCTGTGCATTACTTGTCTCGGCAGAATAATTTAATGACAGAGTCACTGGTGAGAATTTGGGATTGTGGCCAGGCAAGGAGGTGCCCACATGCAGGAGCAGATTGCAAGCAAAGTCCTCCTGATTCAGACTTATATCAATCGGCGTATTGCAAGCACAGGCATTTTTTAAACCCCTTCTTCTCCAGGGATCCCAAAGCACCTCCTGATGCATCTTCTCCCAGTTTCACAGTGAGCGGAGCAAAGCTGTCCCGAGCCTGGGAGCACCCTGCCGCCTCCGTGACCCATTCTGCACCTCTGATGTTCATGCTTCAGTTGAGAACCTTCAGGTCTCAGCTCCTCCCGCCTGAAACACATGGCTGGGAAATGTCTTCCCCATCCCACTGCGCTCCAAAGGCATCCCACTGAGCTCTGCTCCGGTCTTTGGTGTTATCGGGGGACTTGGCATGGGAAGTTTCGCATCCTGTTATGGAGAAGCAGCTTTGGAAACGGCATCAGCTGAACCGGGGCTGTCCCTGGCCCAAGCCATCACAGGAAACGCTGTCTCCAGCCTCCCCAAAGAGCCTGTCATGCTGAAGCTGGGCGGTGGAGAGCTGCTTTTGCCCCGGCTCATTAATATCAGGGTCCTGAAGCCAAGCAAAGAGAGAGGACGGGAGATGCTCTTCCCTCATCTGACCACCCCAAGGATCCTTCTGTTGCTCTGAGCCAACATAAGTATTTACTTTCTATCATTAACTGTCTACCACAGCAAAACATTTCACTGGCAGGGCTTTGAAAAAAAAAAAATTCCTGCTCTTAAATTAGGCAGGGCTTTGTGTTTATGTTTTGCTAAGACACACTCCAGGAGCATCTTTCTCCCCACGTGATTTAAAACACTTCCCAGGACTGGGCAGGGACAATGATACAGATGTGTTTGTGGCTAAAGGACTGGCAGAGGAGGGAGACCCAGCTTCGGCCGACAGCTTCAGAGTGGTGCTGGAGGTGTCATGACATGGCGAATGGGCAAGGCTGGTCCAGCTCCGCACAGCCATCTCATCTGGGCAGTTTTGTCTGGGTGAGGTTTAAGCATCTCAAAAAACAGGGGGGTTAATCTGGGACGCTTTCCAGCCTCAGCTGCCAAAGTGCTTTCTGCTGTTCTACCTACCTTTACCCTGACATCCCACCTCTCCCCTGCTCAAACCACCACAATTTGTCATTTCAGAGCTTTATACAGCAAAGTTGTGGCAACCCCCCATTTCTGCTGTCCATGGTCATTCGCTCCACAGGAGTGAGACCCACCTGATCTACTCAGAGTTGGAAACTACTCAGCAGTGCGGAGCAGGGCTGCTACCTGGTCCCTTTAGCTTAGCTGCCTGCCAGGAGGATTTCAGCATCAGCGCTGATAACCGATACCTGGCATGATTTATAAATGCCTTGACCATTCAGCTCAGTGCAGGTGCCTGCAGCAGGTTGCTAAATTTGGCATAAATGCTTGCAAAGAGCCTCAGCTGCTGCAATAACCATCTGCTGTGGATAAACAACCTGGGTGTGCAAAGCCCGGAAGAAAAGGTCTCCTGCTACATGGGAGAGGAATAGGCACTCACTACCACCCGGCCCCAGGTGATAGCAAGATGGGTAACGTGGTCAAGGCGGATGAGGCAATGGCAACAACCATCGCCGCAGCCCAAGGACTGCAAAGATGCTTCTGTGATGTCCTGGGACTGAGGAGCCTCAAGAGCTCTACCAGTGCCAAGCCTCAAAAAGCCAACAGAGGAAGAGATGTCACTGCCTTTGCTGGGAGGAGCAGGAGGGGGAAAAAAAATAAAGCAACTTAAGTCAGGTTGGGTGGCAAAATGAGACTCAGAGCCTGGTGGCCTACCTCCCACCCAACCACCAGCACCCACAGCTGCCCGAGCATCCTACTCTCCCTTGCACCTCTTAAAAAGAGTGGAGTTGGAGGAGTTCTATAAAAAATGAAAGGAGGAGTCTCCATTGGGGTGGGCTTAGGGGTAAAAGCCTTGTGCCTGGTGTCTGTCCATGACTGCAGCATCAATGTCCTGCCTGCTTTCCTGCCCCCACCATGCCATGCATAAAAGGTGTGAAAATTCTCCCTCTGAAGGGAGAGAGGGACAAGAGCTGGGTACGTGTCAAATAACCCTTTATAAAGGCTAAAGAGGCTGGAATTCACCATACAAACCCTGTCCTGGAGGATGGGGGCTACGCAAGGCACGGCTGCCAGGTTAAGTGGTTTTGATCATGGACTACATATTCAATATGTGGAAGCCCACTGGGAATCCCAGATGGAGAACACACACCCACCGGCAGGAAAACAACACAGATGAGGAAGATGCTATTGATTAAAAAAAAAATATAATGAAAAAGGCTCATTTTGAAAGAAAAATGCTCTATTAGGGAAATGCTGGGTTTTGATTGAAAGACCAAAGTTTAACACACAGAAGGGGAAAAATAATGATTCGTGGAAAAAGCAAATTAAATCCCATCTGGCAGAGAACTTTTAAGTAAAATTCAAGGAAACAGCATTTCCTCTTTCATCTGCGGACGCCGCCACGCAAAGGTCAGCGACTGCTCAGACCAAAATCGGCAGCATCAGCCAAGTCCCTCCCCTGCCTCCATTTGTCGGTGGTACGAGGGTTTTTCTCTCCCTCGCTGCCTTTTTGGGGGGGGGGTGGGGAGCAGGGAATGAGCACCCAGGGCACCCCCCAGCCCCTTGGGGTTTTCTGCTTTATTTTAGCCAAACTGGTGCAAGCAAATTTGCCCAAAGCTCCCTTTCCACAGGTGTTTCGCTGAACAAGCAGGAAATGTTCAGACGAAGCTGGCACCGCCACGACCCCAGCTGCTGTGGCACGAGAAACGGCCAGCACGGTGCCAGCGGCGGTGGGGAGAGATGCTGGCTTTGCCCTCGCTGGGGGCTCAAGCGGTGCAGACATTGGGGGCGGATGGCTGGGGACCAGAGCTGCTTGCGGTGCATCGCTGGGTGCCAGAGTTTAGTATTTTCGTGGCAGAGAGGAAATGCTGCTGTCGCGGGGAAGGCAGGCAGCCCGGGCGCAGGAACGAAACGGGCCACTTACGGGAGAGAATGACTTATCAAGACTTTCCGTACTCGAGGAGAGCTCCTGGGAAACGGAGGAAAGGGGGTTTGTTGGCAGTTTTGGGTGGTGGTGTTTGTTTAAAAGGAGAGAGAGGAAGGAGGGAAAAGGGGAGAAAAAGCAATAGTTTAGCTCCAGGTTCATAACGATCACTTTTCATTTAATTATTTTTTTTTCCCCCACCCCATCATAATTTTGCTGCCTTTTACTCTTGGATAGGAAGCAGCACCTAAACTGACACGTGATCCTTCCAGAGTAACGCAACAACAATTTCACGGGTCTAAACCAGAGCCTCCTCTGATTGAGGCTGCTTATGGTGGTACCAAACAGGGAGCAGGGCTCACAGCTCATCGGCAGATCCTACCACTAAACGCCCATAAAATCCCCACAGATTTTCCCCATTTACATCCTTGAAAATATTCTTCTACCCCAGAAGCATAACTAAGGTTTCAGCTCTGACTTTCTTGGCTCAAATCAGCTGCAGAGGCGGGAGCTGCTAGGGCAGGCAGGGATGCTCGTGCTGATATCTGCCCTGAGACCAGCCTCTCTCCATCAATAAAACACTTTATTTTTCTCTCCTGGACTCTAGTTTAGCCTCTAATTTCAGCGGATAAAATTAACCCCATGAAAACTGTCCTAAAAATTAAAAACCCCAACAATTAAACTATTTTCAAGTTGACAAGACCATTTTCATCAGCAGAGGGGTTATTTTATGAAGCGGCATCCCTGTGCAGCCAAGCAAACCTTGCGTACTACGAGCACGAGCCATCAACCACATTTTCCTGCAGCCACCAAAAGCTACCCTGTGCATCCAACCTAACAGTGATTTCCATCTCTATCCCAGATGTCCCATGATTTCAGCAGTGCCATGCTTAGAGCCCATAAATCCTTTATTTTCATGCCAAAAAGAGATAAAATGGAGCTTCACACTCTTAAGAGCGGTGTGTAATTGGTTTTAAAATTCACTTCCCCAAAAGAAACAAACAGGTTTGGGTTTAGTATGTTAATTAAAGGGATACGCTAATTCCACCAGGCTTAGTCTCACCATAAGAAATAACAGCATTTACATTAATCTCTTCTGCGTGACCACATAAAAACCCTAACAGTGCTGAGACCCCACAAGGCTCACCAAGAAAAAAAAAAATACCTGGAGCCCAGAGGCTGCTCTGGGCTCACGTTGCTGCCTTCCTTCACAGGCACCAGACTCATTCCTGTATCTTAAATCAAGATATCAACACATCTATCAGATGCACTTTGCCCAGTTCAACTCCCATTAAAATAAACGCGATTTCAGAAGCTCATCTTCTCATAGCATTCATACATCTTCTGCTATAAAGCAGATCTCATGGATGATCTGGTCTGCTCCTCCTTCATCTCTGGTAGCCATGAGCCTGGCACCTGCCAAGCTGAGCCAGGGCTAGACCCTGTCCCCAGTACATTTTCAAGCAGAGCCTATTCCACTAAAGCTGTGCCAGTCTGCAAAAATTGAGGGTAGTTTTCAAATTCCTCTCGGATTTAGGACCCAAGCTCCCAATTTTCATTTGAAAGTCTTAAATCAAGGTTACACACAACTTGTCCAGCGCAGAGGCATGCCCTCTCCTTTGACATGCACAGCCTCTGCTCCCCAACTGCTTCACAAGCGGCACCTGTGATGACATTAGGTCTTCAATCTGGCTGGAAACTTTTAAAATTGCTTTTTTCAACTTTATCAAAAAATGCCGGCTCTGAAAATTGCAACTCTTGACTACAGGAGGTGGAGACAACCCCCCATGCAGGCATCACGCAGCTCAGCAAAACCTGCTGTTAAACCAAAGCCCTTTGGTGAATTTGAGGTGTCAGTGCATTAACACGTCTAAATGAAGGGTCTACCTTCAAAACAAGGCAGGAATTATCTACTTGCAAAGTGTACTGAAAAATACCTGCAACACTGGAGCAGAAACAGCCATGCTCGGGACAGCACCTGCAACAGCCTCCCCATGGAGATGGGCATGCCGGTGTGAACCATCACGGAGTAAGAAAGATGGAGCTCCCACTGCCGTGTCCTAACTCTCCAGGCAAACCCACAGCTCAGCCCGTTAAAGCTTTGCTCTTCCTGGAGACAACCTACAGCGTTGGCAGTTTCTAAGCTGAGCCAGGCAGCTTCCAGTTTGCATGAGCCCAAAACCACCGAAGGCGCCCGTATCAATATGGACTCTGATCTCCAGAGGTTACTCGCACTGGGATTTTGCCGATTTCTCCCAGCTGCGGTGTGATGCACAGCTGCCAAAACCAGGGGTGTGTTGCACGGTACTGGGAAGCTGGCACGCTGCCGCCCTGTCGGCCTCATGCTGATGCAACAGGGGTTTGCACCATCATGCAGAAAAATGAGTCAGAGATGGCCCCGGGGGAGCAAGGCGAGTTCCTCCAAGGTTCAGCTCCGGGTCTGTCATTAAGCTGCTCCCCAGATGGAGCACAGCCGAGACCTTGGCTTTTTAACCTCCTCTCTGGGAAGGCTTCAGTATCTGCTGTGGTTCAAATCACCTGCTCGCCATGCCAGGCGTGAGCAACAAAACCTGCTTGCGGCACGAGGCCTGGATCCAGAGAACAGGAATAACAAACTTGGAGGGGGAATTAAGTGCATCTTATTTTTTTGCTTAGCATGTAACCCTCTGACATAATCTCAGCAGCTCCTGACATGTTCGGAGCCTGCTCTTCCCCACCTGCCTGCGCTTCCAGCAATGTCATTTCATGGGCAGCTTCGCTCCCCAGCTCTGAAGGACAACAAGCTGCAGGGGCAGCAAAAGCTGGGGCAGAACTTGGCCTAAACCCACTTGCTTCACCCAAAGGATAAGGCTGCAGAAGGACCCGCTGCAGGCCCCCAAAGGCTCGGTCATTTCCTATTCCCCCATGTTCATCACAGCACGGCTCTGGTCCGGGCACAGCAGGGTAGCCGGACCCACTGGCCACCCAAGGAAAGACATTTTTGGGGATTCTATTCGATTTCTGACGATTTCCCCAGTGAGGTCAGGTACTTTTATGGCAGGCAGCCAGCAAACTGAAATAAAAAAGTGCAATAGGGAACACAGCTCATTGTGCGAGCAGACCCAGCAAAGTTTGGGTTCCTCCAGATGCATCCTACATCCCTCAAAATTTCCTCCCCCTCCAACAGCTCCAGCCACCCCAAAGCTTCCTGCCACACCTTGACACCTCGCACATCCCCTCACTGGTGACCCGGGAGGGGCTGCTTCGGCACAGGGCATGCTGGCCAGCCTCGGCATGGGGCACAAACCTCCGCAGAGCAGCCGATTCCACAGAACATCAAGAAACTCGGCACATTTCTGGCTTCTCCTCTCTGCGGCATTTGGTCGATGCTTCAAAAAGTTGCTGCTGGAGGAGACAAGGATCACACGAGACTCATTTCCCTGGGAAACTGGGCTGGAAGGAGCAGGAAAATGAACCACATTCAAAGGGTGCCAGCAGCACGACTCCTGTCCCTTGCAAACTCGACATATGGATGAGCCATTTGCCAAGTGCGGGCGAGCTTCCAGATCTGTCACTCGGGAAACAAAAAGCCTTGAATGTTTAATACCCTGGTCTCAGCTGAAATGTAGGTGCAAAGCGGTGTTTACGGTCAGCCGTGGCCATCACCTGCTCCTTCCCCATTGCCTATCGCTCCGCCCTGTGCTCAGGACAAGGCTTATCTGCAGCCACCATCTCTGCAGGGTTTGCTTTGAGGTTTTAAGGCTAAAATTCTTGGTCTCTCTTAAGATATAGGAACATTCAGCACAAGTTTCTACCCAGTAAACACATACTGTCATACCGATAAAAATAACTTCAACTCTCTTTGTAAAGAGCTCGACAGTGAGCTCAGCACGCCTTAGCCCCAACATTGCTTTTGCCTCCACAAATCCTTTGCAGAAGGACTTTCCTACCTGTTATAAAACTAAACCAGGTATTATGGATGGCAGTGTTTTATATCTTAAAAAATAATTTAAAATCAAGACAGCTTTTGAGAGGCAAACGCCTCACCAACCCTGCTTGTATTATGGGGAAATGTAGAAGTTTTAGCTAAAAGACAAACCAGGATGCCTAGAGGAGTCAGACTTTGCAGCTTGAGTGACTGCTATCACTGTGGTCAAGTGGAAACCTAACAGGCAAAGGGATGTCCTACCAAATCCAAAGGGAGGATGCAGAAGAGATGCAAAACCTGCCAACTTGGACCCATCCATGGGACCGTGGAACACCTGGCAGCGCCGCCCTCACAGCAATTTGCCATGACAGCATTGAAAGCAATTCTCTGGTAGCCACACTGCTGTTATCACAGCAGAGAAACAAGCTCTACCAGAAAAAGCACCTTTGCCAGCATCGCTGAAGGTGCAATTCCAAAGGTAAAAGGCCGACGCTCCTCCACTCCCCGACTGGCAAAGGCAGGGCAGGGACGTAAGCTAAAAAGTGAAAGACTGGGGTCAGACACGTTTGGCAACCTTGAATAAAACGCAGCTTTCAAATCCAGAAGTTGCCTTCCAGCGCACACGCTCCAATAAGCGACTCTGTGCAGAAACGCAGACGTAAACAGATTTGCATATAAACCCTCGCTGCTGTTTCTCAAGAGAACACTGATGCTGCTGTTAAAAAAAATAAAAACCCCACGCTGTGGGCAGCGCTCACGTCACGTGAAAGCTTTGCTCTTCCTCCACCACCCACCCACACGCAATGGCTCCAAGTTAACAGCGAGGCGCTGGCATTTAAGAAGCTGCCATTTCCAGTGCTCCCTTACCGGCAGCCAGCCTAGATTCTTAACTGATTATTCAATTAGCAGCTTTCTAATTAAAATTTTTTTACTTGACTAGTGGAACCAGTTCAGCCAATCATTTCTGTTCGCACTGAGACGCAAGTCTGCCCGGCTCTTTCCACCATCAGCCTGGCTCTGAGCAGGAGCTCTGTTCAGGCTCACAGCTAAAGCAAGCTGTTCCCATTTAAAAATAGCTGATTTCAATCCAGTTGGTCAAAAAAAATAATTAAAAAGCTAGTTTTCCCCTCCTGCTCTG